TTATGTACAAAATATGCAGCCAGTGATTGGTTCTGTAGTTGTAGACAAATTATCCTTCAATATGTTAAGTGCCTGTGAAAAAACTATCCAGTCAATATGTTCTGTAGTTTGTGTACAAAATGTCTAGCCAGTAATTGGTTCTGTAGTCTAAGATGTGTGTAGAGTAATGACAATGACTGGTAACTTTCTTGCTAACAAGGGTCAAATACTTACCTTAAACTCAGTTTTCTTCAGTGCAGCAGTGATGTTTTCTCTGTCACTTGGCACCACTGGCAAGACTTCAACAGTAAACTTCTGGAAAATAAAACCACCCAAACAATATTAAATCATGTGTGTGTGTGATTGAGTGTGTGTGTCTGTGTGCGTGTGAGTGTGTAGTGTTCAAAGAGAGACAGAGTAAGAGAGAGAGTTAGAAAGAGAGAATGGGACAAAATGAGAGGGGGAGGGAGACAGGCAGACAGATAGAAGCATGTAGAAAATGAAGGAAAAAGAGACAGACAAAGAGACATTAAAAAAAATTATGCCTCTTTGTCTGTCTCTTTTTCCTTCATTCTCTACATGCCTTTATCTGTCTGCCTGTCCCCCTTCTCTCTCTCTCATTCTCTCCCATTCTGGGACATACAGATATGAAGGAGAGAAAAACAGACAGGGAAACATGTACAGAGAATGAAGCAAGAAGAAAGAGACAGACATATAAAGAGTGAAGGAAGAAGAAAGGCATAGAGAGTCAGACATAAAGACTGAAAGAAAAGAGAGAGAACAAGAGACAGAGAGAGGGAAGAGGCAGACAAACAGAACGACATAAAGAGAATGAAGGAAGGAGAAACAGACAGAGACTGACATACATATATGAAGGAGGGACAGACAGACAGATGGACAGACGGATGGACGGACACAGACAGACAGACAGACATTATCATGTGCCATTCTGGTAAGAGTATGCTGTCATGTTTCGCTATCCTACACAATCACCAGAATCCCTGATCATTTCAATGAATGAAAGAAAAAGAGACACAGAGAGACAGATGTATAGAGAATGAAGGAAAAAGAGACAGACATGCAGTTATGAAGGAGGGAGAGACATACATACCCAAAGACAAGACAGACAAACAGATATGAAGGACGGAGAGACATATAGACCCAAAGACAAACAAAGATATGAAGGAGGGAAAGACAGAGAGAGACAGACATACAGAGAGTGAAGAAAGGAGAGAGGCATAATGAGAGACTGAAAAACAGAAGGAAAAAAAACTGTCAAAAGACTGTTTCCCTATTACATGACATAAAAGGTATGGTTTTAAACAAACTAGCAGAAAACATTCAAGTTAAAAGCATCTGTTAACGTTACAGATGACTATATGCACCAGAGACTGCTGATGTTAGTGATCATGATGAGGAGGATGACAATAAAGAGGAGAAGGATGATGATGAAGATGACACAATGTCTAGACATGTACATTAAATTTCTAACCTCTTTTTTTGATCGAGTCAGTGTCACATCCACAACTTTGTCAGCTACCCAAAAGAAGCGAAACTCTGCCTGCAAAAAAAAAAAAACATTAAAGCATTGTTACGCTTTGGACCCTCCCAAAGATGCAAACAGCGGAGAATATAGAATGTAAGCAATGATGAAATTCATAATCTGTTTACATTAAAAAAACTGGTATCAAGAGGTCTAATAGACTGCAATTATTGAGGCACATTGAGAGAATGGCACGTAAGAGAGATAAACACTGCGTACATACAAGAATTCAATCAGAGTAGACCACAAGGCAGACAAAGAAGATGATGGTGAGATAATATACAGGCTGACCTACAAACACTTGGAATCATTAACCGGAAAGAAAGAATGACAATCACAGAGATGAATGGAGGTGGGTGATATCTGCAGCAATTAACCGCAAGGTTAGGAATGAAGAAGAAAAAGAAGATAAGGAAGATGCAAAAGATGAGGGAGAAGGTAAAGAACATGGAGAAAGAGCACATGTCCCACACTTGTCCAGTGATGCAGGCATTTACACTCACTAATCTTGAATTTCAATGTACACTTCCACACCCAACTTACCTCTGGCATAAACACATCTAACAGCCCAGTTAGCACACAACAGGGAGAAGAATGACAAAAACGCAGCAGCAAAAGAAAGAAAGAAAGAAAGAAAGAAAGAAAAAAAGAAAGAAAAGAAAGAAGAAAGAAAGAAAAAAGAAAGAAAGAAAGAAAGAAAAAAGAAAGGAAAGAAAGAAAGAAAGAAAGAAAGAAAAAGAAAGAAAAGAAAGAAAGAAAGAAAGAAAGAAAGAAAGAAAGAAAGAAAAGAAAGAAAGAAAGAAAGAAAGAAAGAAAGAAAGAAAGAAAGAAAGAAAGAAAGAAAGAAAGAAAGAAAGAAAAAAAAAAGAAAGAAAGAAAGAAAGAAGAAAGAAAGAAAGAAAGAAAAGAAAGAAAGAAAGAAAGAAAGAAAGAAAGAAAGAAAGAAAGAAAGAAAGAAAGAAAGAAAGAAAGAAAGAAAGAAAGAAAGGAAGAAAGAAAGAAAGAAAAAAGAAGGAAGGAAGGAAGGAAGGAAGGAAGGAAGGAAGGAAGGAAGGAAGGAAGGAAGGAAGGAAGGAAGGAAGGAAGGAAGGAAGGAAGGAAGGAAGGAAGGAAGGAAGGAAGGAAGGAAGAAAGAAAGAACTACTGACAACTGTTATTAAGAAGTTCATTAATTAGTTAACCATTACATTAGCTATCTTCTCACATAAAATACTATAAAGCTTAACCTTTTTAATGAGTTGGTAACAAATAAACCTACCTCAGCATCATAAAATGGCTGCTGGCGCCAATACATGACATCAAACACATAATACTTCTGTAAGGAGCCACACCAAAAACTGTCCAGGATAATCAGATCTGAAAAAAGCAATTTAATTTTCAAAGATAACAGATATTGACAAACGATTATTTGATGTGACTTTCGCAAAATTATCAGTGGCATATGTGGAACAGAGCTGAGTTAAGATCCATCAATGCAAATGACTGCCTCCACCTCAATGCACAAAGAAGATGCTATGATATAATCAGTAAGTGAAAAGGTTCCCCCACCCAGACAGATGAGATGCAAAGTGTAAAAAATGAATAAAATATTTCAAACAAAATAATTAATATAAGTATTTAACAACATGTTACTGTTTAAGTAGAGACAATACTTCACTAGCTATCAAAGAATGACAAATGTACAGCCAACAGGGAGACATAGCTTACCATCTGCTCCTGTTACAATGTCTGGGGCTCCACTTGGCAAGGAGGATGTGAAAGTATCAACCAGCTTACCGTACTTATTGTATGTGCACGTACGACCCTGAAAAAAAGAGATAAAACATCTGGTATAAGTATAGTAAAGTAAGTAAAGGACCCCTTTCCATGTCTTTAGGCCTATAGGGCTAGACCTATATTTTATAGACCAATTGGCACAAGATGGGTGATGTGGTCAGCATCACGCCAGCCGCCTTTACTTCCCGGGACTGCACCCGGTACCCACTCAACGCTGGGTTGACCTGGGAATCAAGGTCATTTTTGAAAAAAAAAAGTCTGGCTCCACCAGGAAGCGACCTTCCAATCCACGGGGAAGCGTCTAGCCAATCCGCCACGGCGACTCCTGTGGTATAGGTATACTTTTTAAAATCTATATATATATATTATTTTTTTTCCAGTTTACATATATTATTATAAGTATTTAGTTGATGTATATAAACTACATGCATGTAAATCATCTGAATCATGAAATAATTACTAGTCCACTTTAGACTTTAAGTTTTCAACAACAAAAAATGTTTACCACAGAAATTAGTGCAGAAGTACACATAGCATATCTACTAGTTTTTTTCGCATGCGTAAATGACACATAAGAAAAATTTCTGCTACTGCTGTAAATCTCAAACATGCAGATACACACCCTGGCGGCTACAATAATTCTTCGTTTGCCCAGGGGTGTCACACAGGTGAGATAATCAGATTCAAAGTCTTCAGGTAATTTGGTCATCCACTGGGATTTCATAGCCTGTCAATGAAAACACAACAAATGTTACATGAATTGAAACATTCATTAGAGGTAGGGCAGATAAGGTTTTGCAATGAGACATGGTATGACACTAAAATTTCTCAGTCCACAAAAACACACTCTTTAATTAGCACCCAATATTCTCTAGTTAAAGTTGTATTTAATTAAAACTTAAATTTATGGATTAGTTAGTTAGAAGTATACAACTGTAAGCTTTCTTACTTTGTAAATATTCACTGTGCAAAATACACCTGACATTCTCTAGTTAGAGATTGGCGTTTTCACCTATGCCATACACTTAACGAATTACTAAATTTTTTTCTCTTCTGACTTTAATTTCCAAATCATCATATGCCGAACCCCTTGCAGCCTTGCTCTGAATGTATTTTGCAGCACACATTTTGAAGACCATAAGGTTAACAGTTGCACACCCACCCACCTTAGTCCCCTCTTATGGTAGGTTTCAGTGTTCCTATCCTTTGCTATCCTTATAGGCCCCAATAAGGCATATGTTTATTGGGCCTTCAACCCTGGTGATCTAAAAAAAAGCTAACCATAACCCTGATTTAACACAAAAAAGATTTTTTTCAACAACTTCTTTATGTCACAAAAGAATCCAAACAATTCTGTTTATGGACCCAAAACAATGATACTTTCATAAAGAATAAAAGTAGTAGTCGGTCAACATGGATGCAGCAGCGTATTTACTGATTTACCTCCCACTGACCATAACAAATTTACATGCTGACTCATACCTCACCCCTCCCCCCTAACCTGGTCGCCAGGTAACACTATCTCAAATGAGAAATTATGACATCATCATTTCTATTTCAGAACTCCTATATGCTCCCTTGTCAGTTTTCTAAGGGAAGGGATCTCAGCCTACCCTAAGATCCCAGGTTTGGTGCTCCTACTGTGGGATTTTGCTAGGAGTAAACTAAAGTAAATCAGAAAAAATTATTTAATCAAACTTACACTATGAGGTTCATCCCAGTTGGCCTGCTTCTGTTCATCACTTCTTGGTGACTGTCATTGTTAGTTTGAGGGTTATTTGTTTTTATGGAAGAAGTGGGGGAAGAGAGAAAATAAGCATATTAGCAATTACATATTCAACAAGTGATAAAAAAACTACAATTTTTGCCTGCCTTTACAGTTTTTTCACGTGGAGGCAGGGTCTTTGAGCCTGAGGATGTAAGGTTGCATGGCTAACGCTGTCGCCATCGAGTTTGCAGGTTAGGATTTTAATGTCTACCTCCGACAGAAAAAAATCCCCAACTTTACAGAGGATTTGAACCTGAGTCTCCCATTAAACAATCTAAAAATGTGTAAATATTTTTTAAACTGTGCTTTCGGTGGCGAGTATTTAAAATGACATATATTTTCTGCTGTGAATTAAACTCTACCTAAAACACTTTTAAAGAGGTGTTTTCAACTGCTCATTCCATAAAACATCACAATAAGCACAAAAACTTGAGATACAACAAACAGCAACAGAAAGGTTGTTTCTGAGGAGAATGTAAAGAAAGATATGAAGGGATGGAAGACAAATAAGGCAGTACTTGAAGACATGGACGAAAGTCATAGACTGAATAAGAATAACAAATGTAAAATTAGCATTAGTTAGGCAGATTATGAGGAGAAATAAACTTGAACAGTGACAGCTGGCATATTTGATGAGACAAGAGCAAGGAGAAGTCAAAGAGATAAATACCTGGATGACATGGCAACACAGCAAAAACTAGATAACAATACATTCCTAATTTTAGACTCAGGTGACCATTCAAGATAGCAAACCATGAACATCCATGCTTGTCAGCACAGTACATGATGATGATCTACAAAACACACCCAGAAACTGAAGACACACAAATCTGTGCCAATCGATGCTTGTCAGCACAGTACATGACGATGATCTACAAAACACACCCAGAAACTGAAGACAGACACATCTGTGCCAATCGATGCTTGTCAGCACGGTACATGACGATGATCTACAAAACACACCCAGAAACTGAAGACACACACATCTGTGCCAATCGATGCTTGTCAGCACAGTACATGACGATGATCTACAAAACACATCCAGAAACTGAAGACACACACATCTGTGCCAATCGATGCTTGTCAGCACGGTACATGACGATGATCTACAAAACACACCCAGAAACTGAAGACACACACATCTGTGCCAGTCCATGCTTGTCAGCACGGTACATGACGATGATCTACAAAACACACCCAGAAACTGAAGACACACACACCTGTGCCAATCCATGCTTGTCAGCACGGTACATGACGATGATCTACAAAACTCAACCAGAAACTGAAGACACACACATCTGTGCCAATCGATGCTTGTCAGCACGGTACATGACGATGATCTACAAAACTCAACCAGAAACTGAAGACACACACAACTGTGCCAATCGATGCTTGTCAGCACGGTACATGACGATGATCTACAAAACTCAACTAGAAACTGAAGCCTGTACCAATAATCCTGGGTACCGGGTATAACACTGTTCTACCAATCATTCAAGAAAACCCACATTTTCAAAATGCTTTCATAGGTATTAACTTTCACAAGAGTAAATACTGTGTGCCCTTATACAATGAAGGTTGGCCTAAATGCACTACTCATTGCTGTATTTTGAGAATATTATCTGGTAAAACTTGCATGACTTCCATTGTGTGAATCTCATATCTTTGTCCCAAAAAAAAAAACCACAAGAAGGGTTTTAGCCAACAGAAATCAAACGTTTGTGGATTGAGGATTGTGAAACTGTTAAATCTCTTCACTACCCTCTATGACTTTGAAGGAAGACCCCCCCCCCCCCCCCCCCCCACCGTGCCCTCAGTCAACAAATCAACAAATATGACATGCGTGAGGGGGAGGGGGGGGGGGGCCAGTAGGTATATTCTTGTTTTCCTCATAATGGGGGCCCGAAACCCACATAACACGATAACAAGTTTAAGAATAACTGTTTGGAAAAGATAGAATTAACTGAGCAACTGATAAGACAACCAGTTAATACAAAAAAGTGTGTCAATCTGAAGGTACTATAGGCACTGTCTAGACAAAATGAGTCAATATATATACCTGTCCTTTTTTCTTTTTCTTCTCCCCTTTGGATTTAGTCTGAGGTAACTGTTGAAATTTTCTTTGACCCACATCACGCCTGCCATAAAAGCTAGAAGCGCTGTTATTCATGTTATAGTTGCCATAGAATGGGCCGCCCGCATTCAAGATCTGCCCGTAGGGACCCTGACAGCTAACGTTCAGGTTCATCATCATGTCTGATTATAGAAAAATTATACATTTCTTGATATACATCAACAAGTTTTAATATATTAAAAAAATTACCCCAAAAAAAAAACACACAAGTAAATATATTTTATTAGCTCATTATTTTGTCTTCTTATACTCCATGTCAAGTGGTGTTGGTTGTAGTCATGTCGATCCACAACCTTCTGTCTTATTTACTGACAATCAGTTCTGACACAGTTAACATTCCATGCTGCGAGATCAAACTGTCCAGCTCTCATCTCTCTCGGTAACCCTCTCCTTTTGCCTTTCCAGCTTTCCCACCGTCACAATGTACTCCAGTTGTCTCCTTCTCATGACATAACCAAAAAATGTAAATCATCTCCTTCTAAGCTCATCCCTTACTGGATTAAAATAAATTATGTGACAAAATATTCATTTTAATTTAACAAAAAGTATACACTGAGCTGCAGTTTATCAATTGTTATTAAACTATATCTTCTTGCCATTTATGAATTAAAGACGAAGCAACAAAAGGAGAGCTGTGGTTCGCAGTGGCTAGATGTTGACCAACCATCCTGAAGGTCAGGGCTCAAACACACATCAAACTAGATTTGATCATTGACCTTGGCTCATAGATTGACCCAGTCTAAAGGGGTCCCAGAGAATGCAATGAAACACAGAGGAAGTAAAGACCGCCTATATGATGCTGGCCACCATCACCCACAGAGTGCTGGTTTTCATCCATTCATTTTCCTGTTATGCCACTATATGTCACAGAGGGTGTGCAGTCTATTCCTCCATTCTGGTCGATCCTGGGCTATCACTTTAATATCATGGATAGAATCCATTCCAGTACCTTTTTCTTCCCTCATCAATGTTCACTTTATGGTTTCTCTTGGACCTCCTTGTTTCCCTCATCTCATCATTCCCCACTTCACTGCCTGTCTGCTGATTCTCTGCTCATTTCTTCAAAGAATGTACCATGTTCATTGTCTTATAACTGTTCCTACCAGTGGTTGCCCAGACACTTCTCTTATTTCTTCACTCATCTTCCATTCATCCCCCTTTACGCTCATCATTTTCCTCAGGCAGTTGTTTACAGACTGCTGATTGGTCTTTTACAAATTCAGGTCTAGTGCCACATACCCAATGCAGTAAAAAGGGTCCTTTAGGTTACTTGAGCATGACAGAACATGACAGGGCATGACAGAACATGACAGGGCATGACATGACATGACAGGGCATGACAGAACATGACGCACTGGAACTGATAAAGGATAAACAATTATTTCCCATGGGCTGTGATGAGAGTAACAAAGAGTTTACTATATGATGCTGATGCTTAGAACAAGACTGAAAGGTATAAAAGGTAAGAACATTCTAAATTAGTTAATTTAGGTTAAGAAGTGAAAAATTACAAGACATGAAAAAAAAAAATATCATAAACTAGAAGGCTTTACATAATGATCTCTACTATGAAAATTTAAAAAAATTTTAATATAACACTGAAAGTCTGAGAATGACAGAAAAATAATTATAAAGATACAGAAAGAAATAAGATTTCTACAGCCTCATAAACAATATGCCTTGCATAAAATAAAAATAAAAACATTTTTAAGTTAGTTGCCTGCCCTTTACAGACGTTGCAGAGCCAAATTTAGCATTTTGCTGTTGTTTGTGATTTCACTAGGTAATTTTGCATTCAGTAATTTGCCACTGCTGCCTCGACTATCAGTAAAGTAAGGCGGTCTGCTGCAACAACCCTTGCCGCTTGGACCACACTTGGCACTACGGGATGGCAAAGCATGTTCACAGTGCACAAGCCACTGACAGCTATTTGTCATGTTTACTACAGCCTAAGAAAACAAAAAGATTAGCATTATTTCAAGGAACAATGACAGTGTTTGTAGCTACCTGTCAGGTACCCATAATCCTCATTCTGATACCGTAGCCCCTGACCTCTTCTTGGCTGCTGTCCACTGTAAAATCTCTGGGAGCCAGGAATCACCGATGGCTCCTGGTAGCCTCTACCTGGCACCTGTGCCTCTCGTCCTTGACCTCTCCCATTTCTGGTAGTGCGGCCTCGCATGCCAGCACCAGTCGGGTACACCTGGGAGATTATTGCTGGACTAACACCATGGCTGCAATGCAAGAAGATAAAGATTGCACAAATGCAAGAACACACATATTACACGAACCACAAGTGAAACTTGCGTGTCTATAGACAAACCACAAGTGAAACTTGTGTGTCTGTAGACAAACCACAAGTGAAAAACCTTAAACAGCAGTGAAAGGAAGTACTAAAAAAAATTTTTTTAAATCACTCCCCCTTCCCCCTTTCCACTAAATTAGTCTTTCAGTGTATGGATTCCCTATCAGTTCTTTTGCACCATCCATTTGATCCCATATAACCTTCATCACATCCGCTTTATCATATACTATCTCACCGCCCAGAGGAGCTGCAGCAGCTTATCCATTAGCCGGCTCATTACCTCACACACATGAATATCCTGGACAGAAAACCAACAATATCCTATTTGTCTGGGTCTTATCAAGTGATGCAAGCCACTCTGATCGCAGGACACCAGTTTCTAAAGCGGGTTCTGTGAGTCTGTTACAATCTCAACATGTCGGGCTGTGCTGTTCTTAAGCCATCGGAAAGCTGCCGTTACTGCCTCCACCTCCATTCTCATACTACATGAAGTGACACTGTATGCGAGGCTATATGTTTTCAAGCCAGTGAATGGATAGCTGGTGAAACAGAGTCAGCAGTGCAAGAGCCGACAAATAAAAATTCATGCTCTGGTGCTGTCCTAATATACACAGATGGGTCTGTGGTGAGAGGTTAGAAAAGTGGGCGGGGTTTTATTGCAAACGTGAATGGACACTGCTTGAAAGCAACAGATTAGCTTAATTAGCTAGGTAGCAACCTTGACTGCCGAGGAAATACACATAAATTATTACATGCATTGGCAAGGCAACCGCAACTCTTAAAAGCCTGAACAAAATATGGCACTCTTAAAGTAAATAGTTTCAAAACCAAGCTACCTATTTTTACTTGTAATGTTATTTCAATTTCAACATATGCCAGTAAAGATTGCAAGAACCACTAAAGACAAGGAACAAAAGTTAAATATATTAAAAGACAAATGCCTAAGGAAAGTGATGTGCATTAAATAGGATAAATTCAATGAAGGTAAAGAAATAAGAGAAATATTTGAACAATCTCTGTTTCAACTTACAAGAAAGAAATGCTGGTAATATATTGGGTCATCCTGAGGAGATGGACAGAGAATAACTAAACAGTCCCTGAAATAGGAAACAAATAGTTTGAAGAAATGAGGGCATCCAAGAGAAACCTGAAGATGAACACTGTTCAGAGATACCAAAGATGCTGGACTTAATTCCATCCATGATACTGAAAATATTGCACAGGACAAAATAGGATGGAGGACTAGACTGAGAGGCCTATGTGATGTTTAAAGGCACCACAGGCTGATGATTAATGATCAAAAGTGCTTACGCTAAAGCCAAAGCCACGGGGTCCTTGTAACTAACGGCAGTAACAATGCCCATCTCTGGGATTTCAATTTTCATTTTGGTAGGCAGGCGATCCAGGGTCAGCCACAAGACCAGCGGTGTGGTGCCAGGAGTGTAGGTTGCTTCCTTGTGGTAGAACAATAGTCCATCTATCTGATGAAGACAATGAAGAAATACAAACCAAGGAGGTAGAGAATTTAAAAACCATAATGGTTGTTCTAAGTGCAGTATGTAGGTTTATTTATACAACAGAACCTCCACTAATACTAAAGCCATCTCCTTGTGAGATGCAATTTTTCGTTATTTTGAAGCCCCACTCTGGCTCTTGCCAGGGGGCGCAATATAGCCCGGCCGTAAATATGGCCTAATGGCTGAACGCGGTTTCCGGGACCTCTCCATGGTGATCCTCATCCACATGGTGGCACATTGTGTCATCGGGTGTTTATCGCTTGTGTGATGTCCTGGTGGGGTAGAAAGTCAGTCAGTCAGTCAGTCAGTCAGAACCTCCACATCTGATTACCTACCAATGTTAACCAAATGTTCATAGATCAGAAGATCACCACATATTCTCAATGGAAGACTACCTCTAAATGTTAATCACTTCTGTTGGTTGTATATTGACCACTTGGATTGATACTCATAACATTCATTTACTCTCTAAAACTTGACCGGCCGGTCTTAACCAAGAGCATGTATGTGTACTCTGACGTAGTTTAAAAAGAGCAAAGGTCCGTTGCATTTCTTTTGATCTCAAAGAATCAAATGATGTGCCAAGATCAGACTCTCAAAGAGTCCATGATGAGTGCTTGAAAAAGAGTTTGCAATGTTCAGAAGTGATTTTGTTTTCTTTATTTTATGAGTCTGGGAGTGCTGCTTAAAGACAATACTAAAACACGTCTTACTGTTACCGCCAGTTAATCGAGACATTCTTCTTCTTTTAGTTCGTCTAAGTGATGCAAATGCGCTGTGCCTGTTTACAGAAGAGCTGCAATATATGCGCCTTTCAGCCAATACATCAACTTTTTCGAGCACATGCTGACCAGGTTAACTTCCCGGATAGTATTAAGGAACATGGTGTACACCTACTTGTGTGATGTTCTTTCTTTTCCCTTATCTCTGTTGTCCCCGGGTAGTCAGTCCAGGACATCCAAATATAGACTGGTCAGCCATCTAGGGAAGGCAGGGGCAGATCATAGGCATTCCCGGCAATCCCAGGAGGCTTCCATAAATGCAGAGCCGACACATGATGTTCTGGTCCTGGGCTCACTAAAGGAATCGTCACGTGCTGCACTGACTGCTTAACCTTACACGCAGAAGACTCTTTGTATAGCATTTCAGCTCAAAAGCCCCTAATTTTCTTCTTTAATGATTGAGGGACAGTCCATGACTCACATCCGTATGTTGCCACAGGGAAGATGCATGCTCTCAACATTCTGACTTTGATTTCCTTGCTGGTGCTTAACCCTCTGGAGACGACGCGGACGAAATATCGGCCCGACACAAAGTAGCCAAAACGACGACTGGTCCAATCGGTCAGCCCTATGTAATACAAGCCTTGAGACTGGCTGGCAGATTTTTGTACCAGCCAATCAGATTGCTTCTTGCATTTCTTGGAAAAGTGGGCTGTTCACTGACGGCTTTTGAAAAAGTTTGATGCGTTCTGTAACTTTACATCAATTGTTTTCTGCGGTTACCTGTGCCCAACAGTGGCGAAAAAGACTGTTGCGTCATAAGTGTTAGGAATTATTCAAGCTTCATCCATCAAAAAAATTCACCCACATTTTTTAGGTTAGTCATGATTGTTCCCAAGTTTAAAAAACAAAAATTTTGCATAAATTATGCAAATCAGAATAGTTAATTTGAATAAATGCTGAGATTTCAGTTTGATTCATAAATATTCTGTTAGCTCATTCAATTTCATACATTAATATATAGTTTTCTTTATGTTAATAAAACACTTTTTTTTAAATAATTTGTGTGTGTGTAAACTGTGAGAATCCCCTACTGAAGGCTTTGTCTTTTTGGCTCTGAAACTCCAAAAAAGCGCCATCTCCAGAGGGTTAAACATAGACTTTTAATGCTGTTTAATCATTGCGTTGCAATGGCCATCCTCCTTTTGACCTCTGTTAAACAGTCTCTCCATTGATGTGTATTATGGAGCCTAGATATTTGAAGTTTGTGACATTTTCAATTTCTTCATCCTTTTTTTGTCATTTTTGGGTAACAAGCAGTTCTGTCTGTGGACATTATTTTTGTTTTCTTTAAATTCAAGAACAGGTTTTGATCTTCGCTGTGTTTTTGGATAGACATGATTAAATGTCTATTCCCTTTACAATGTTTGAAAATACACAAAATTCTTACGTATAAAACAAGTGATATTATATTAACACATCATTCACTTTAGTAATCATTACAAAAAAATAAACAATATCCATTTAGAAAAAGCAACCTACCATGTAAGGAGCCAACTTGACTGCACTACAAATGTTGCTTTTAGTTGGTGTGAATGTTTTTAATGGAACAAACGGATACTGGAAGGAAAAACAAGCAGAAGGGATTATGGAGTATGTGATGAATAAGAGACATATTTTTTTTAATGCATCTGTGAAGTAAGGTTGCACAAAACATGATGATTCAATGCATAGCAAAAATAACTAACCATAATAATCGAAACTCATGCTTTTGTGATACAGTAAAAACTTCGATTAATATAGTCAATTACAAACCTGAGTGGATCAGTCACAGTTACAATGGTTTGGACATGTATGCATAATGGCAGAAAATTGGCCACCATGCCAGGCATGGGAGGCTAAGAACCAGGAAACCAGACCTCTAGTGCGACGCAGGGTGCTCTGGGAAGACAACATGCGACAGTCCCTAACTGACAGAGGACTGGAATGGAACAAAGCCAGAAAGTAAACTGTTGATAGAGACATCTGGCGATCTCTCTGGCAAACCTCTACACCCAAGGTAGAAGAGGAGTGACTTAGTAAGTAAGTAGTAATATAGTCAATATCACTCCCGCAAAAATATTTGTGAACAATATACAATAATATAAAACTTATATTTTCACAATTTCTCTCTTTCCTAACCTAAAATCTGTTTTTTGTGCTAAAGAGTGGTTGGAATACCACACTGAATGAATTTCTAGATTGTTATTTCTTAGGTGAACGACTAACTAGTCTCTTGTGTCCACAATTAGCATTTATCAGCTATTACAATTGTATCCGCAGATAAGTACATATACTCGTTATATAAACTAGCAATTCTTCTTCTTCTTTCATCCTCAAAAGGGTAACTGGCAGGCTGTGTTGTGGTTTACACATTCGATTAAAGAAAATTCGTTATTAGTCGCCTTTTATTATAGACAACAGGTCTATTCCTTCTGCCTCCAAAAGGGAGCAGCCAAACCCACACTGGAAGATTAGCAATATCAAAAACCAAAAACAAAACAAAAATAATTTGACACTTGAAAACATTCTAAGATACATTAATGAGTATACAGACATTTCTGCTACCTGTGCCACTTAAATAAATAATAACCTTCAATACCAGAGGACAAGAAAACATATTCAGCTTTTAAATTCGCTTCCTTGGTCTGTAACAGAGATTTCATTACTGATCTTGAATATCAATGCTACAAATTATGACTAACAGAGGATTCATATACTGTGTAATTAATAACATCTTGTAAAGATAGGGTTGCAAATACCAGCTGCAGCTGTGCTTCAAAACTGTTAGACTGGACACTAACGGCTTCTGAGTGATTATTTTAAGATGAGTTGATAAATCCGGAAACTAATCTTACAAACTTAGAGACTACCTAGAGACACTAGAGACCCTAGTAAAACATGGAAGGGTATCACTAATTAATTTTCAATCACGAGCGACTCATTTGTTACAGGAATAAATCAAGAAGCTAATGACGCTTTAAAATTGGTACGTTTCTTAAGAAACATTTTAGAAACTTACCGGGTTTTGGCGTGATGGCCTTCCAAGATCATACTCTCTAACTCTCTCCTGTAACTGTCTAAAGCGTACATGTGTCTGCAACATGATAAGGGTTGAGAAATATAAATATTATCGTTATAGTTAATGCAGCTGGAACATAAAATAGGTTGGTCTCCCATATCTGTAATCAGTCCATTTTTATATTGTTTCAACTCCCTTTTAGTTATCACCAGATGGTGATTTGAATAAATAAACTTCTTCATGTCTACAATGATTTACCCCAGAAGAGATCATCTAAATTTCTAGTTTGTACAGAAATGATCAATTTGATTTTATGTATAGTAAGTACTCTGGTGGCTTTGTGTACTCTTTTAAGTGGAGAGGGAGAATGGGGGAGGGAGGGAGGGTTCTCAGTGGCAAATTGGTCAAGTCATTTGTCTGGCGTTCTAAAGGTCATGGGTCCATTTCACAGATGTGTCTTCAATTTACAAATGCAGTTTTGACAAAGATCCCTGAGGATCGTCGCTAAGGAGGTCGTGCTCTGTGTGACAATCTCTGCAGGTGGCTAGCCATTCTGCAGAGGGAGACTGACCCATGTGGGATCAAAACCCGGTGCAATGAAGTGGATCCTCTCAACTTTAAATTTAATTTTAACCTAATGTAGAAAAACATTTATTTCTGTCACATGTTAATCCACTCAGCAAAATGTGGTTAATAGTTCTATTTACATTCAATAGCTCAACTGGAACTCCAGTTTCTTCCAAGCACAAAAATCAAGACTTTTTTGCTCCTAGTATCTTTCCAGCCATTTCATCAAGAGCAAACAACTTGCAATTAATATCAAACTTCCCAGATGCCTTTAGAAACTCTAAAAAAAAATGACTGCAAACTTTCCTACCATCTTGTGAGGCATCAAAATCATACTGACTGCAATTGTTCTTTCTCATTACATTAGGAATCTATTCTAAGTATTGTTTTCATTCCTCAATTCCGGTATTGTGTTCACACAAAAATAAGACACCCCAAAAATAAGCCCTAGCATGATTTTTCAGGATGCTTTTAATATAAGCCCTACCCCAAAATAAGCCCTAGTTGATCAATGAGAACTCAAATGAAAACAGAATGCAGAGAAATCAGCATGAAAACTTTGTGAAGCCTAGTCTGCAGGAGGTTGTGACCTAATGTGAAGAATTCATGGGTTAAATTCACTGACAGCTGTGTTGCCAGTGAACTAACAGCAGGCTACTCTCAACAAGTAATGCTTATTTAAGGAAAGCTTGATTGCTGAACATGAGAGACTGGGGTCAATGGTTTTACAGGAAATAAGAGTCACAAGAATTTCAGGTAGGAATTCAGGATTTGAAAAGTCACAGTGATCTTCTAGAAAAAGATACCATGACTGTGTTTGAATAGATGTAGAATTCTGTACATGAATAAATGTAGATTTTTGTATCTGAGAAAAACATTAAGACACAGTGAAAATAAACTGTAGCGCATTTTTAAACTAAAATTAATATAAGACCCAGTCTTATTTTTGGGGAAACACTGCAGTATCCAAGTACGACACTGTCTACATACATTCTGTCATGTATAAAGCATGAATTACCATCACTGTTGACAGCAACACAGATCATCCACTTCAAGCTCCTTATGGGGCCACATTGTGGGGAAAACAAGACTAGACCCACTGCCTCCCCAACAAGCATGTCATATGAGTCTTCCTTCAAAGTCCAAGGACATCTACCTGAGTGGCAAGAAACAACTAACTGCACACAAATAAGCCAGTAAAACGGATGCACACACGAAACTTGAGTACTGGCACAAAGCCAAAGTCCAATGGATTAACAACCAGAACTTTTGGCAGGAGCTTACAGTTGGTGAACAAAGAAGAAGAAGAAGAAGATACAGTTTAGACAGACAACTCTCTGAGCATGTGTTGATGTAATATTTTTCAAAGCACTCACTTCACAATCATACAGCGGCTGTCCATCCCAAAACATTATATCCAGTACAAAATAGGTCTCTGTCTCATTGCAGTAAATGCAGTCCAGCACACATGCACCATAGCCTGCAAGAGAAACAAACACTTTCAGCTATATGACCTTTCTTGTCTACAGGCAGAACTACAATGAGGCGGGTCTCTGCAGCAAATTGGAAAAGCCATCTGGCTCGCACTCTGAAGGTTGTGGGTTCATTTTGTTGCTCGGCTGCATCGTTCAGTTCAGGAATGTCATCCCTGTGGACTGTTGCCAAAGCTATGAAGTTTGATATTTGTGCGATGCTCTCAGCAGACTGCTAGCTGTTTTGCAGACACAGATCAAGCTGTATAAGTTTTGACCCCATGCAATAATTTTTGGAACTGCTGTGTAATGGAGATTTCAACATATAAAGTCAAACAATAGTAAAGACTAAGATGTTTAACTGCAGAACAACTGCACTGTTAGTTACAAAATATTTTAAATTAAATACACTTTGATCATTTACTTCCCAGAAAATGTACAGGTACCCATCTTGAGATATGGACATAAGTCATGGACCAACTGGCAATCAATAAGGGAAGCTTCTGAGCTGAAATACTTTACAAAGGTTCTTAAAATACCACGGACCAAGATAAATAGAAATACTGACATAACTTTTATGCCTCTTTGAGGTCCAAGGTCCAGTTCACTAAGCAAGGTATGATCGCCATCGTACTTTGTGGCTTGGGGTCCGAGCTGGTTTCCTTCCCTTATGGTTATGGTAAGGATGAAGGTTGGAATGAGGAGTTAGGTCGGGCGTGTAGTTTATCTGAGCATAAAAAAAAGATTGGCTCGTAAACTGTACATTGTTTCAGAAAATAAAAAGTTTTGCTCACATCAAGTGCCATAGTGGACTGGAAAGAACAGTGGCTGAGGGCATGAAACCAGGAAAGAGGGTCAGGGGGCCAATCAGCACAAAGATGGACACAGGATATACAAGACACCTTGGATAGGGAAGAGCAGAAAGCAGGAGGGCTGATGAGAGACTGAGTTTCTTTCAGGTGTGCTTTGATGGGAACAATATTCTGTAGGTAGGTAGGTAGGTAGTTGTACCGACCAGAACATCACACAAGCGATAAAACCAGGTGACACAAAGTGCCACCATGCGGATGAGGATCACCCGTGGAGAGGTCCCAGAAACCCCTTTCAGCCGATAGGCCATATCTATGGCCTAGGCTAGGCCATATTTATGGCCTGGTTATATTCAGGGCCCCTGGCAGAAATAACAAAAAATTGCATCCCACAAGGGATGGAATTTACCTTTTTTCAAAAACATACAGTAATGAAATATACTATATATGACTGTTTAAAAGGCTATTACTTACTATAACTCATAATGTGAAATCATCCACTCATTATAACAGATGATTGTCGTACTTTCAATTCAAAGAATTAGTTATTTTAAATCAGCCATTAAGCAATATAGATGATTGCTGTGAAGCTTAATAACAATTTACAGGGCTAATTACCTAAAACAATCAAGTGGGGAAAATGTATTCTTTAAAAGAAAAACAGACATAACGGCACATACACAAAAATGTCCAATTCTTCTTCTTCTTCATGGCGTTTAAACTCCAGCAGAAAGTTCTGGCTCTTCATTCACCTCTGGACTTAAGTCTTGCTTCTGAATTTAAGCTCTGAGCGCAAATCTGTTTTACAGATCAGACTTATTTGTTTGTTGCTTGTTCTTCACCTCTCGGGCAGATGCTCTTTGACTCTGAAGGAAACACCATTATTGAGTCGCTTTTTATGACATGCTTGTTAGGGGGCAGTGAGTTTATAACCCCCCCCCCCCCCACCCCCCCCCCCCCCCCCCCCCCACAGTGGATCTGTAAGGATACCGGAACCCACATGGGGACCAATTATTCTAATATTCTTCTTAATATATCATAATTTATTGAGATAAAGTGCATAAAACAGCAACTGTAACAACGTCCAAAACACTGCCAGATATTCTACTTCTCACCTTGCATTGCCTTGTTGCCCATTGGAAGGTTGGAAGGGTGACTGATAATGTGATAGCCAGTTTTAGAGTAGGCTCCAGTGTGGCCCTGTTAAAAACAGCCATAATAAAGTCAACAAGTTATTAGTGATTATGGACAGGTCCATTGGTTCTCCGAACTCCTCCTAAAAAGCTCCAAAAGTGTAAAATGGCCGACAATGCCTCTTCTGTGTTGATTAATCAAATACCTTGTCCCCTTAGTGAAAGCATCATGTTCCCTTAGTGAAATGTTTATTTCTTGCACCTCCAGTTTGTATCCCCATGTCCATCAACCTAGACAGGGATACAAAGTCATATCCTTTACCGCATTCATCTTTGCAGTAAATGCAGCGCATGTCATTGATAAGATCGCTTCTGTCCAGTATGGGACAAGCCAAAGCAACCAAAATTTTTGCAAGATAATCTGCACGTACATTGCCTCGAAGTCAGAAGAAGGTTAAGCGAGCCATTTGTGAAGTGTTCGGTGTTGCAATCCATTCTTGCCTTAAGAACCCAGCCTAGATCTTCTTTTCACTGTCACTTTCTGAACAATCCCCTCTGATGAGGATTGGAACCCAAGACCTTCAGGACAGCAAGTATGTGTCGAGCCACAGCGCTACTGCAGCTCGCAACATTAATAAAGACACAAATATAAACCATTTTAAATACACTTTTGATGCAACTATGACAAACACATTCGTTCTTTCAGTATCAAACAAAATATGACTTGTGACTGGCTCTTTCTCATGTATCCCAGCTTTCTCATAACGTATTTCAATCATTTGTACATTTTGTCAGAGCACACTAAAGAAATCTGGCTTCTGCAGTGATAACTTCCATTGAGCCTCTTTGAATGCCAAGATTTTATATAATGGAAATTTCTCCTTTTAGGAATTTTCATAGCACCTGGAAATTTGTGGAAATGAAAGGAAATCAAAATACTAAACTTCAAATTTGTTATTCTAATGTCGAATCACATTGATATCGTTGGATGGAAAAAATGAACTAGAGACTGTTAAAACACTGGCTGTCTTAAAAGAATCAGCTCAGAAAATGGGACTAGTTATCAATCAAGATAAGACAGAATACATGATAATCACTAGACAGGGAAAGGATATAAACTCCGGCCACATTCAAGTTGATAATAGGAAAATCAAACGAATGGAAACATATAAGTACTTGGATGCAAACTTCAACTGCTACAACATGTCGAGAGAAGAAATACAATCTAGAATACAATCTGGAAATAAAGTATACTATGCCCTTCAGCATCTGCTAAAGTCAAGATCAAAATATATAAAACGTTGATAAGACCAGTCGTTTTATATATCTCTGAAACTTGGAGCACAACTAAAAGAGATGAAGTCTTATTACAGGTTTTTGAAAACAGAGTCTTACAACAAATCTTTGGACCCATCAAAGATGCAAACAGCGGTGAATGGAGAGTGAGAAGCAACAACAAAATTCATAATCTGTTTAAATCACCACTGATCACTGGCATTATGAGAGCTAATAGACTGAAATGGTTGGGGCATATTGAAAGAATGTCAGATGACGGAAAAGAAAAAAACTGTATACACGAGGGAGATGAGTGGTCGTAGACCACAAGGCAGACCAAGAAGACAATGGAGAGATAATATCCAGTCAGACCTGCAAACACTTAGTGTCACCAACTGGAAAGAGAAGGCTAACCAGAGAGATGAATGGAGGTGGTTGACAGCTGCAGCAATGAACCTCAAGAGCTCGGAATGTTGAAGAAGAAGAAGAAGAAAAAGAATGTTGAATCAGTACTGATGTATTGTGGAGAAACATGCAGAACAACTTAAATAATTTATAATAAACTACAAACATTCATTAAGTAAAAGGAGAGAATTAAACTGTATAATAGAATCACTCATACTGAGCTTTGAAACAGACAGACAGACAGACAGACAGACAGACAGACAGACAGACAGACAGACAGACAGACAGACAGACAGACAGACAGACAGACAGACAGACAGACAGACAGACAGACAGGCAGGCAGGCAGGCAGGCAGGCAGGCAGGCAGGCAGGCAGGCAGGCAGGCAGGCAGGCAGGCGGGCGGACGAATGGACAGACAGGGAGGGAGGGAGGGAAGGAGGGAGGGAGAAAGAGAGAGACGAGAGAGAGAGAGAGAGAGAGACAGAAAGAAAGAGCGGGGACACATGTTGAGAAAAACCTGAGAAAAATATAACTAGAATTTCTTTGCTCTGCAACATTATATAGAGGCAGAGAAATAAAGCCTACATACAAATTACATGGAGAAGGGAGCTAGAGTGAAGTTAAAAGACTGGGAGGACATGGGGTGTAAATTTTCCCTTTTCGCATCTGCTCTGGACCCTTGTGGGACTGAACGAGTTAACAAACAGTTGCTTTCTGTGTATCTCTGTGTTTAAATCCATGCTGTGTCGTGTTGGTCTTCATAATCGTCCACAGCCTACTCTGTCTAATATCCCCTCTCCTGAAGTTTTCTGACTCGATTCCTCACCAATTTTCCTACAATCACAACATACTCCAGTTCAACCTTTCTCATAACATGACCAACATATGTGGAGTGATGCAAGCACTGGTAGAGTACTCATATTATAATGTAGCAGGTCCTTTGCAGAACATTACTCTCATCATGTTCTCTTGCCAGCTCTCCCCCCTCATTTACTTTCATATCTTATGCCCATCTTTGTGTTGGTCGGCCCCTACCCATGGTACCATGCCGTGTGCTATTATTTTTTTCTTTCTAATCCGCCGTGGCATCTAATATAGTCAAAATATTTCAGCTTCTGAGACAAGATGCTATTTATCAGCCAATCTTCTTTGATGTTCAGATCTTTCACAATGTCAGTATTTATTTATTTATATTTTTTTTGCCCATGGTATTCTCAGAATCTGAGTAGAGTACTGCAGTGCCGAAATAATATTTCAGCTTCCGAGACAAGATGCTATTTATCAGCCAATCTTCTTTGATGTTCAGATCTTTTACAAAGTCAGTATTTATTTTCTTTTTTTGCCCACGGTATTCTCAGAATCTGAGTAGTGTACTGCAGTGCCGAAATAAATACACTTGAAAACTTTTGTAGCGAAATTTTAAATTTCCTATTTAAATAACTGCAATTAAAAATTCATGCATGGACTCATAAACACACAACCCTCCCCCCCCCCCCACCCCCCAACTTTCCCCATAAGACACTTTGCAACCCTTTGCCTGCATCCTGCATGGCATATAATGAAAACAGTCATGCTTCAAAGATTTATTTTTTTTCTTCTTTTTAGCGTTCATTGGCAGTAAACTCCGGTGGACAATTCTGGTAGTTAGTTCACTCCTGGACTTCGGTCCTGATACATATCTTGAGTTTCATGCACACATCTGTTTTACAGATCTGGCTTATTTGTATGCAGACTGCTGGTTCCTTGTCTCTCAGGCATATGCACTCCAACTTTGAGGGAACCAATAAGTCACCTCCTTCAACATGCTTCTTAAGGGGGCAGTGGGTCTATTTTTTGTTTTCCAAAATGAAGTCTCGGAACCCATACGGGATTACAGATATCAACCCTCCTAGCAAACATTCGCAATGGCACATAAATGTCATAACAACTGGTTGTTTTCTTCAAAGACTGCAACAGATTCAGTGACTATGCTTCCAAATGTCTTACCATGCTGGCAACAACCAAGCACCTTGATCCAACGGGAGTCACAACCATCAGCCAGTTCTTGGCAAAGCTTGTCGGAATCTCATCCATGTTCTCTGCCATCATCAACTGTTGTTAATAGACCCACAAAATGTAATTGTCAGACAGGGAAATATACAGTCAAACCTCAGGATACCTATTTCATCCATTTCATGACTTAGGTCATATGGTAAAAAGCTCATATCCTGAAACTATTTGTCCATTAATATTAATGTAAGCAATCGTTCCAGACCTCCAAAAATCACTCTGTTAGTTCAAATTTGTGTTTTTCATTTCACTAACAGGCAAAATGTGTGGCAATGCTTTTTTTTTTCTCTCTTTGCCATCAGCAGAAAATGGGATTACTTCCGACCATGATGCCACAGTCCATTATCTTCAAGTGCTTTGCTGACGGGCTCAAATCCTCCTCTGCCAATGTTAATGTGACCTAATCATTTAAAAGTTATCAAGATGCTGTCTGATAATGCCAAGAGTTTTCATCTCCTGAGCTCTCATCCTGGATTTCACCTCATATTCTGGGGCAAACAAACTGGTCAGCCTGACCTTGTATCCTGAAAAACTCCTATCTAGGTACAATTGGGTTGTGAGATTCCACTGTATATTTATTTATTAACCATGGAGGTATCCATAGAACAGGGGGCTAACTTTACAATGTACAATAGTTACAAATAGAGTGCATAAATTAGTTCAGATGTTGGCAGATCAAATCTGACTGAACGCACCTATCCAGCCTTCTGTTTTATGCTAGTATGTGTCAAAACACAGGAAAAAGATAAAGTGGCATCATCACACTGAGAATAGAGTACAATGTGTCACTATGACATTGAAAGAGTAGCACCATGCTTAGAACAGGCTAAAAGTGCTACCATCACTAGAAAGTGGGAGCAAAGTGTCATTATTATAGTGAGACTAGGTTGCAGTGTCAATTCCACATTCAGAATAGGCAACAAAGTATAACTATCACACTGAGAATAGGCTACAAAGTGTCATTCTATCACATAATAGTCAGCAAAATGTCAACATCACAATGAGACTAGATGACAATGTGTTAGCTCATTAAGAACAGGCTACAAGGTGTCATCACCAAACTGAGAATATGGTGAAAAGTGTCATCACATCGAGTATATGAACAAAATGTCAGCACTACAGTTAGTATAGAAAAGTGTTATTACGACACAGCAAATAGGCTGCAAAGTTTCCTTATCACATTGAGAATAAGCTATAAAGTGCCATCATCTACTGGGACTAGGCTACAAAGTGTAAAGACCCATGTGCAGGCCACCATAACAAGTTGGCGCTATTTTTGCAACAATTTTAAAGGATAGGTACAACCAGCTTTATAAAAAGTACACCAAATACATACACAATGATTATGACAATGGAGTCCGGCTTGAGCGGGTCTCAATAAATAAGACGATAAAGAGAAAGACCACAAAGAGATTGAAACACCTAAAGGAAGAAACATTTTTGATCATCATAAACCTTCCCATGTGTATCCTCTCACAGCTATTTCCTAATATTATTATAGTTTTTAGTATTGTTCTGCCTTTTTCCCCAACCTATGAAGTTAATGGGGAACAACTCCACACTGCATTCTGCATGATTTATGACCACATATTTTATCTCTTGCTAAAATTTAAGCATCTGACGTTCTAGCTGTTTATGTATTTTTTATGTCTGTCTCTCCATGTCCTTTTAATATCATGATTAACACAAATGTGATTAATGGGGAATTTCATCACAGCAATCCGAACAGATCCACAGGCGCACTGATCTCCTTCTCAACAGCACCACAAGCATAAAATTACTGACAACACCTATTATGTGCTGATTAATCAGATGTACCCTTGGTGAAATGCTCTTTTTTTACAGCTCCAGATCGCACCCACAATGGCAATCAGCCTAGACAAAGAGTTATGAACTATGCTGAATTCATCTCTGAAGTAAGTAATGCGCATGACATTGACAACATCGCTTCTATCCAGTGCCAGACCAGCTAAAGCAACTGCAGGTAACACATAAAGCATTCACAAATGATCTCTATTTCTTGTTTCATTTACATCTACCTTCTCCATCTACCATCCGCCGAAGAGCTCTTCTTGCCAAAGTATGTCTTATTATTATTATTCTGTTATATTAGGCCTGTTTCATATCAAATTACTTGTTTTGTTACCTGAATCCACAGGTCTGTTTCATATCAATATTTGTTTGTGTTTGCTACCTGAATCCCCAGGTCTCTATATCTTATCATATGTAAAGTTTCAGAGTGTTTTGTTGTTCATTTTTTACTCTGTGATGCTGCATACATCAAAGAGAGGAAAAGGATGTAGAGCACAAGGTAGACCGAGAACAAGATAGAAAGATAGTATCAGAGAAACTCTACAACATCAAGACGTATTATCTATGATCAAGGTGGCCAGATGGGCAAAGCAGGAAGTGAAGAAGAAGATACTATACCTGTTTCACCTAAAGTTACTTAATACTAGCTGCATGTTTCCTTTAACCTCTTTATATGCATCAACATACAAGATCCTCAAGCAACTCACTATGGGCCCACCCAACAAGTTTTCACATAACAATATAACTGTTAGCAAAAACTCAGACATAAAATATAGAAATCAGTTTCAGTTACCTGGTTTTTGAACACCTTTGATTTGACATTTCTTGTCTCTGGATTTGTCCTGCTCAGAAAGTTCAAGAAAGCCTGAGTGTGGCCTTCATAGACATAACCGTCCCTGAAATGTGACCAATACAGGTCAGTATTATTTACAAGCCAGAGATTGAATCATCAGTTTCCAGGTAAGAAATGACATCACACCATTCGGGGGCATTGCCATAAGCGCTCTGTCCCCATCTTCAGCAGCAAGTGCAGAGTTCTTATTCCAATGGTACCAGTAACTGTCTGTATGTCGATCTTGCCGCTCCTCTGTGTCTCGACCAGATCCCCTGTGACTCGGCCAGATCTCCTGTGACTCGGCCAGATCCCCTGTGTCTTGGCCAAATCCCACATGTTTCGGCCAAATCCCATGTGTCTCGGCCAATTTCCATGTGTCTCGGCCAGATCCCCTGTGTCTCGGCCAGATCCCCTATGTCTTGGCCAGATCCCCTGTGACTGGGCCAGATCCCCTGTGTCTCGGCCAGATCCCCTGTGTCTGGGCCAGATCCCCTGTGTCTGGTCTCCTAGACCAGGGGGCTGGTCTGCTCTGCCATAACAAAGTTTTCAGGTTTCATCTCCTCTACCTAGGATGAGGCTAGTATCCTCCCCGATGGACTTCTCCACCCGAAGCCAGTGGCACATTGTGGAATATCACGTCTTTTATACGCCGCCTAACATTCGGTCGTTAACAGAATATAGGTAGTACTGGCTACTGTTATACAGGAGTAGTTCAGTCCTATCTGACCAAGACCTATGTAGTGGTTTGCATAGTTAGTTGTGTATCCTTTAACAGGACATTGCAGTACAAACCCCTAGCATTTTTTGGATGTTGTGGTCTTTCTAGGCAAACTTTATGTTCAGTAGTTTGCCACTGCTTTCTGAATGGTCAGGTCTCGTTACCACTATCGAAGCCAACACAAGACAAACTGCCCGCAACTGGGATCAAAACCTGGCACCCCGCCATTATGAAGCGTGTTTGAAACGCCTAAGCCGCAGACACATTGTACTGGTCATATTATCCCACTCTGCTTCTTCTTCTGCCTTTTATCCCCTCCATCAAAGCATAGGCCTCATGCCAAGCCATTTTGTTTTTTGCTATTACATGCAGCTCACCTCATGTCCTCCCTATCTTTATTTAACTTCACTCTCTAGCTCTATTCTCCATGCTTTTTTTTTTTTGCCCTTGTGGGTTCCTGTGCATTTTCACACCAGGTGATCTATAATGACCAATTGGTCCATTCCTGCCTCTTTTTCAAAGAAGACAAATACTGTGATGTTTAAAAAAGCTGAAGTATTTTTATTTCTGAGCCTTAATGCTGCATACAAACAAGTTCTCTTTGATTTTTAGATTATTTAGAATAAATTGTTTCAACTAGATCAGTGTTTCCCAAACTTCTTTGGCCCCCTGCTCACTTTTCAATTTAAAAAAAAAACAAATTGATAAGCCCCGGAAAATAGTATCAACATCATTATCATCACGTGCCTTCGGCGGTCACGATTCGCTATTTCACATAATCAGCAGAATCATCGATCAGGTCAGTGTTGTCCCATCCATGTTGCCAAGCGATCAAGGTATCTAGCTTTGCTTTCCCCCTGCCCTCTTTCAGTCAATTTTGCCAGTTTTCACCAAGTTCTTGGGCCTATTCCTTGTTCTGAAATGCACCTTCTGTAATCAAACAGATTTAGGTAAGGACATTTTTTTAAATTGTTTTTTCTTTCTACGCCTTACAACATGCTCTGGTTTGTCACTGTTGTGGTCTTTTCTTCTCTTCCGTTAAACTTCACCGCTTGTTTGACAGGGCTGCATCAGGTTCCCTTTTGACTGTGTCAGCAAACATTCTTTTCCAGTTATAAAAATTCTAGTTTTATATTTGCATGTTATGTCAAAGTTTCTATTGCAACTTGATTTATATTTCCTTTTTTTTTTTTTTTCTTTCTTTTTAATTCATGATTTAGCAGATGGTTTAAAAGTTTCCAAGCCATAAAAGTCTATAAAATTTAGCTCTAGCACCCAAAATGCCTAAGGACAGCAAAAGAGGTTCCTTTTTGTGCCATGGAGAGGACGAACTTTAATCCTGGTCCTTAACTAGCTCAGATTTCTATTCATGTCTATAAAACATTATAACACTATCAACGGGAAAGATGAAATGGTGTCAGTGAAAACTGTAGACCCCAAGTTTTTTATGTTAAGTTCTCTACTTTCTCCACTGGCTGCTGAGGTAATTTGCCATGGCCATCTAAACAGAGATTTGCCATAGCCCTCTAAACAGAGATTTGCCATAGCCATCTCAATAGAGATTTGCCATAGCCATCTAAACAGAGATTTGCCATAGCCATCTAAACAGAGATTTGCCATAGCCATCTAAACAGAGGTTTGCCATAGCCATCTAAACAGAGATTTGCCATAGCCATCTAAACAGAGGTTTGCCATAGCCATCTAAACAGAGATTTGCCACAGCCATCTAAATAGAGATTTGCTATAGCCATCTAAACAGAGATTTGCTATAGCCATCTAAACAGAGATTTGCCATAGCCATCTAAACAGAGATTTGCCATAGCCATCTAAACAGAGATTTGCCATAGCCATCTAAACAGAAATTTGCCATAGCCATCTAAACAGAAATTTGCCATAGCTATCTAAACAGAGATTTGCCATAGCCATCTAAACAGAGATTTGCCATAGCCATCTAAACAGAGATTTGCCATAGCCATCTAAACAGAGATTTGCCATAGCCATCTAAATAGAGATTTGCCATAGCCATCTAAACAGAGAATTGCCATAGCCATCTAAACAGAGAATTGCCATAGCCATCTAAACAGAGAATTGCCATAGCCATCTAAACAGAGAATTGCCATAGCCATCTAAACAGAAAAGTCTTCACCAATCATTAGTTTTATATAACTCTCATACATTTAGGCTGTAGGGGACTTGTTTTGTGATAACATTTAGTAATATGACCTATGTAAAACATGAAAAGACTTGGCACTTTTAAGCTGCTCTGAAAGAAACTCTCTCCCTCTTTGGACTAACTAAAGATGCTGCATATTTGAATCCTGACCAACTGTTGGTACAGAAATTATCTTATTCAAGGAAACATTACATCAGTAACTGCTTTTGTCGAAATGTTAGCTCAAGCTCCCCTTCTGCAGTGTCGAAAGCATGGGAGAGGTAAAATTAAAACGAAACCCCAGAATAGCATTTAAATTTATGTTGAGAAGGATGACCAAATCTGATTGGTCACATACATTGTTTTGTTTTTTTTAATTTTTAAAATTAGGCAATCATTGATTTTAATCTGTTACACTAGGCCCAAACTGGTATAAATGATTTATCAAAATACCCTCTCTCTCTCTCTCTCTCTCTCTCTCTCCTCTCTCTCTCTCTTCTCTCTCTCTCTCTCTCATATGTATGTACAAACATATGTACATTTATATGTACAAATATTTATACATATATACATAAACATACATATACATACATATATATTTACACACACACACATATATATATATCCCAGAAACAGCTAGCAAATACTTACCTATGCAACTTATCCAGCAAGCCATTTCTTCTAGAACTCTGGCTCTGAGAGGATCCCTGACTTGGGGACTTTTTGTTGGATTTTCCTGACTTGGATGCAGATTTGTCCCCTTTTTTCTGTGCTGATGAATTGTTTGATGCATTAGTCTCGTCTTTGCTCACGACAGCTTGTCCAAAGCCTGACTGAGAACTGTCATTGTCTAAACTCAAGCTCATGTCTTCAATCATTGCCATAAATCTGATGGCTAAAAATGTATAAATTATAATTAATTGCAAAATGTTCCTTTAAAAAAAAAATTTGTAGTAATTTGTGTTAAAACCTTTGTACTAATTTATGTTAAAGGAAATAAATAAAGTTTCTGAATACGTCTCACAGAAATATACTTCTCTAATATACTCATTTCATTTTCGGTTGCATCTAAACACATAAACAGTTCTCGCTTAAATAAAACATGAAAAATGTTCATATTTTCAACACAGTTCATGTTGCCACAGTGTGAGGACCTAAAATATTATTGAATCGACCTGCATATCTCCAGAATATAGAAAAGTATTTTGTTTAATGATGGTGTGTGTGGTGAATGGAAAATTAGCACTAGACACTGACTGCATACTTACTACTTTTACAAGACTCCAAATAGAGAGTCGCTCTGGCAAAAGCATCAGGAGCTTTTAAAAGCCTGAGCAAAATATGGAACTCTTAAATTCTATCATTTTAAAACCAAGTAAAATATTTGCAATATTATCTCAGTTTTAACATATGCCAGTTGAAGTTAGTGAACCATTGAAGACATAAAATGAAAGTTACATTTCCTTTTTAAAAACAAATGCCTGATAAAAGTGCTGAACATTAAATAGGATGAAATCAAAAGAAGTGAAGAAATAGGAGAAATTGTCTGGACAGTCAACGTTGAATTTTTTTTTTTTTAATCAAAACTGTTGGATAAGCATGTTTTCAATGTCCAGCTGATTTTAGCACTGAATCGTGGATAGCCCCCACCCCCTTTCCCTCACTGGTAAACAAAGGGGGATGTACATAATAACTAAGTTATTAAACAATTAAGACCAAAACTTTCTCCTCCTCTGGCAAGTGTGTGTAGAAACAACAGTTTTATTATTTAATAATTTTCTAGTTAAATTCAGATACTAATTAATTTTGTGAAATGGCAGTCATCAGTATACCAAAAACCACAACTAATTTTTTAGTATCATATATCATGCGATACCAAGAGCAATCCCAACAATTGCAGAAAGGTATATATGTCATATGTGATATATCAAGTTGATTAAAAAATTTGGCTCTCCTGGCAACAACCGCCGGTAGACAATAGTCGATGGCCAGTTATTCGGAGTTCTGTCCCCTGGCTGCAGTGCTATTACGGAGTGGAAAGGAGGGAACGAAACAAATGACATAATTACTGTGTGTTGGCGCTAGACAGCGTGCACTGCCCTGCTATAATCATACGGTTACGGTTTGGGTTAGGGTTAGGATTAGGGTTAGGGTTTGGGTTAGGATTAGGGTTTGAGTTAGGGGTAGAGTTAGGGTTAAGGTTAGGGGTAGGGTTTGGGTTAGGGTTAGGGTTGATTATGGTTAGTGTCGCCGCATCTCGTCTTCACACAAACTCATTGTAGCAACCCACATCCTAACCCTAACCCTAAACCTAACCCAATCCCTACCCCTAACCCTAACCCTAGGGCACAACACGCTGTCTATCGCTGACACACAGTAATTATGTCACTTGTTTTGTTCCCTCTAGTCCACTCCATAATAGCACTGCAGGCGCCGCAAGAAGCGGTAATTGAACGTGGTCGCTAATTAGAATCGCAGCGCAGGTCTGCCAGGCATGTCGACCTCACTGTGTTTTTTGATTCGTGCCATCTCCTGTCCGTAATTGCACTGCAGCCAGGGGACTAAACTCTGACTAACCGGCCGTCGACTGTTGTCTACCAGCTGTTGTTGACAGGAGAGCCAAAAATTTAACTGGTTTGTTCACGTTTTACAACTATTATTTTTTAATAAAGACATGATGCCTGCATATCACGCCCCTAAATTAACTAATAAAATTGAACATTAAAATATGTGTTTTAGTTTTTTAAATTTAACGTACTGAGACTGTGAACCGTTCGTTGACAAATGAATGCAGAATAAAATGATAGAAGTCAAGATATACATGATGGCCATGACCTTGCTAGCAATCACTGCAATTACAATTTTTAACATGGAATTCTTCAGAGCAATGTGTATTGCACACGGTCTTTAATTAAAGAGCATAGATGAATATCCTAATATGTACGAGACCAGTGTTTTAGTAGCTTACTATTCATGCAAGTTGGCTGGTCTGCACAAAGAAAAGAAGGCAAAGGGGAGGGGGGTTGCTCGCCTCAAAGAGCGATCCACGATAAACCGATTATGCACAAATGGTGTTTGCTAGCGTGCAATGACCGAACCTAATCTTTGCAAATAGAAACATACTTTTTTACTACACCTGTTTCAAACTGCCCCGTGTACTACGGTTTGCAAATATCGTCGCTAACAATTGCTCGCCGGTTAAAATTCAGGTACAAAACGAATAGTCGTTCTTACATGGTCGCGTTTCCGGTAGAACGTGTAACTCGGCGACAGTTCCCCGCAGTAATGATGCTGATGCTAGGGCTTGGTGCAGCTGCATGGAGCAGGGGACAAGTGGTGTTTAGAGGAAACGGTTGGGAGCGATGAAGACAACGTTGACGGTAAAGACATCGAAAACATTATGGTTCAGGTCCCTTGAGTCCCCCTTCCCTCATAATTATATAAAAGGTCAAATAGGCGCCTTCTAAACAGTTGCTGGATTTAGGCATATATACTCCGATTATCCATATATTTAAAAATTGTGGACATTATATAGTTTCCTGAGATTAACTAATGTCATTTAAAATGATAGGCCCAAAGCTTTATATATCTTAGGACCTCGTCAAGTCTAAATCCGGCCCTGCCTCTAACCATGTTTTCTTTAAAAGTACTCCTTTATTCATTTCATATTATTTCAAGTATAGTATTTTATTTACTTGCCCTTCAGTGCATAAATAATAACAATGAGGATGAGGCCGTTTTCTATAATAACAGGGAGCGGTACCCACCCCAAAGTTACAGTAGACCTGAAAGGTTAGGTTAGTTGCGTATCCTTTACAGGACGTTGCAGAACCAACCCCAACAGCTCCTGACTGTTGTGTGGTTTTTCTAGGCAAATTGTTTCAGTTGTCCAGTTGTTTGCCATTGCTTTTTGGACGGTCGGCTTTCTTGATACCACTGTCGAAACCAACGAAAGGCCCATGGCCAGCAGCTGGGATCGAACCCGGCATTCCGGCTAAGCGTTCGCATCGACTTAGCCACAGAGTAGACTTGACCTGTTGCATACCACTATAAAACCCATAATTTAAAAAAATAATATATATGTGCTGAATGATAAATAAATATAATAATGTACTTGAAATAATATGAAATGTATAAACATAGGAAAGGGAAACTGTTAGGAGTCGCGTTGGGAGGTAAGAAGTATTTAGGGGGAAAAAAGAATGCGATAGAGAGAACTTTGGGAGGTAAGACTTTTTAGGGAAAGAAGAGAATGCGATGAAAGAACATTGGGAGGTAAGACCTAGTGGATGAGAGAATGCGATAGAGAAAAGTTGGGAGGTAAGACCTATTTAGGGGAAGAAAAGAATGCGATGGAAGAACATGGGAGGTAAGACCTAGTGGGTGAGAGAATGCGATGGAGATAACGTTGGGAGGTAAGACATATTTAGGGAAAGAAGAGAATTCGATGAAAGAACTTAGGGAGGTAAGACCTAGTGGGTGAGAGAATGCGATGGAGAGAACGCTAGAAGGTAAGACCTATAGGAGGAACAGAAAATGCGATGAACAGAACGTTGGAGGATGACATCTGTTTAGAGCAAAGTTTTTTTTTTTTTTTTTTAGAAAAACAAAAAGTGCCAGTAGTCACAACAAAGTATTTATTACAGTAGCGCTGACCAAATATAATGCCTGGAAAAAAAACAATGTCGGCACTGTGTACCGGTATGTATCGCTTGTGGGAAAGCCCTGGGTTAGGAGAAATAATCAATCGGCTGAAGAGAATGTGGGGGATGAGATCTACTTAGAGGGAATGGAATGTCTAATGTCTAATTAGGAATTCGACATCACAGAACTCGGGACATTCCTATAAGAACTTCGTCCTCGTCTTCAGCTGCAAGCGCAGAGTTCCAGTTCCAGTTGTACCAAAAGCAGTCTGATTGTATGTCCGTCTCACGTTTCCCATCAATGTTGAGCGTTGACCAAACCCCCTATTCACTCCTGGCAGTATTTTTCTCTTTAGACCATGATGATCCATTTGTGCTTAAGCACTGTTCACTCGCCCTCGAAGAGCCCCTTTATCTAGCCTGTCGTGTACCAATTCACCACCAAGGTGTTCAGAACCAGTCAGTCTATCTGCCCCTTAACTTCCTAATACATTTTCATTTCATGGGGAAAATATCCAAAGGAAACTAATTACCTGGCATCTCTGAAGCGATGCTTGCCAGTTTTCACAGAGTATTCCAGTCTCCAACTTTTTCATTATGCTCTATGAGTCGGCTACAATTACGTCATGTGTGAACAACTGATTCTCAAGCCAGCGAAAGGCTGCAGTGACTGCCTCCACCTTCATTCTCAAACTAGATTTGGTGTGTGTTATATGCCAGGCCGCCCGTGTGTCGTCGTTTTATCATCAAAAGTTGGGGTAATCTTTAAAGCATTAGAACCACCCCATTTTGCATCTCAAGAAAATCATCATAGAAACCAAAGGAGACTCAAAGATTTTAGAGTAAGGCCCCTGTGGAGACAAGCATGCTCAGTGCAGTGTGGCAAGCACCACTTCAAAGGTCCCGGGTAGTTACAATCCTTTGGATATTTTCTCCAGGTAATGACGGTGTGTTGGGAAATGAGCAGGCAGAGAGACTGGTCGGTTCTGCATCACTTGGTGGTGAACTGATGTTGTGAGGGCCCTTTGGGAGAGAGTGAACAGTGCCGAGACACAGATAGATCTGAGGAGAATGGCACTGCGAGGAGTTACAAAGGGATTTGGCCGACGCTCGTCACTCAGGGGAAAGGCGAGACGCATAAACAATCAGACAGTCACTGGTACCATCGGAATTTTAAATCTTCGCTTGCTGCGGAAGATGGGGACGAAGCGTTTATGGGTATGCCCTTAGGGCTGTGGTGT